TATTAATATATATATATATATATTATAATTAAACTTAAAAAAAAATATTAGTTATTGAAGAATATTCTTTATTACATAAGAGAATTAATCTTTTTCAAAAATTTGACAGACATTAAATAAATGAATATCTCCTCAAAATTTATATTTTATACAACCTATAATTTAAACATATATATTTATTTTATTAAAATATAATTTTTATTTTTTAAAATATATTATTTTTAAATAATAAATATGTGTGTATCAAATGATAGTGGGGGCAAGTGCTCCCACTATAAATAACCTAGATCCGTCCCTGACTATAGGAGTAAAAGTCTTCTGATCGTGATTCGCATTTCGTATACCTTGGCAAAAGAGATTATACCACCATATGTCTATGATGTAACAGAAAAAATAAGGAGTAGAGTTATGGCAATCAAGCCAAAACAAAAACTTAATATTTTCAGAACATTTTGCTTAAAAAATTAAAATACTGTAAATTAAATTAAAAAATTATTTTCAGAGTTATGGGTTGTATTTTTAATTTTTTAATTGATAATGATTTATAAATATTTTATTGTAATTAATGTTGTTTGAATAAATTTAAATATAATTTTAGAGGATCTCTACACTTGAATATATTGATGGAAAACTCAAGGGCTCGTGTGCCAAATCTAAGAAATTTAAAAAATTGTTGTAGTAGAAACAAATATAACATGCTTAACAAAACGACCCAAAGCCCAAATCTTAGAATTTGGTTCACAGATTTCTCATTGTTTCTTCAATAACCGACGATTAACAAGTTTGTGTTGTACTATACTTTCATAATTTTGTGCATGTCCCCCTTCATTTTAATAATAGCAAAATGACCATGAAATTTTGGATTCTCTTTCTTTTTTATTTTGCTTTTATTTTGGAGTAGATGGTTATCTTATTTGAAAATTAAATGTATCGGAAGTTCATGATATAACATGTATTTGTATATTGATACTGAAATTATTTCAACTTAGATGAGGGTTTGAGATTCTAATTAGTTGACCAACAATATCTTAAGAATGTGGGGCATTGCGTCTGATCAATAATAAAATGATGATAAATAATTACTTCAATAATTATAATTTTAGGTAAAATGTTTAGGACGGGTTAGAGGTTAATAGTTCCTACTACAATTAATTTATTCAATAATTGTCTTTTAATCAATTAAACAAGAGATAATGATGAGAATAAAGAAGAACGAGAGTGTAAGAAAATTCAACAACAAAGAAAATAACCCTTGAGTTACACTTTAAAATAAATTATTTTTAATTTAGTTTTGACAAGTACCATATTTTTTAAGGATCATATTTGAATATTTTTTTTTAGGGTAAAAAATATTTTTGTTCCTCAAAAAAATATTTTAAAATGTTAATTTTACTCGTTAATATTTTTTTGTCCTTACATTTATGGAAAGTAATATAATTTTAATCTTTTATGAGAGATTAAAAATATATTAAATTTTTATAAAAATTAAAATTAAAATTTTAAAATATTTTGAGAGACCAAAACATATTTTACTCTTATATTTAAAAATGCAGGTTTTTCTTAGATACATTGTTTTTAGGATTGTCGGTTGCTCAATAATATGATATATGTGAAATGGTGTATGATTTTAGGGAAATGGGATCTTAAATTTGACTTTACTATATTTTAAATGAAGTCATGAATCATTCGAAGTTCTGTATTGCAAGATGAATTTGACAAATACATGAAGCATAATGTCCATAATATGTGATTTTAACCAATATTCTCCTCTGATTATTGTTTTAAACCATCCTTTTCTTAGTCCCAACAGAATCATATCAGAGACTACAACGTATAGTTAGTTTCTAAGAGGAATCGATGTAAAACTGATCCACTTCTATTAAGTTGAAATTGCTTTCAAGTATAAGACTAATGAAAAATCCTGTTATATAATATATTGAATTAGAAAAATGTTGCTTCTAAATGCATGCATTGAACAAAATAACTAGACAGTGACATTTTATATTGACAATTACAAATCTCTCTGTCTGCTGATCTGTGTATTAGATCATGTTCTTTTTGGGGGGTAATACTTGAATGCTATGCATCAATAAAATGGTGTGACATTTTTAGGATAACTATTGTGCCAAAGAAGGCCGATGATAGACCAAACCCCATGTCACTGCTAGTGGACAACTTGTCTGAAAACATAAATCTTAAATTGAATCACCAATGTTGTCTCCTTAATCAAGACAAATATACTTTAAGAGTTGGGTCGCCATTTGCCTTTCTTGCCGCAGAGCACCCCCTCATGGATTGTGGAGGTTACTTCCCAATGCAAAGATTTCAACAAAACCCCAACTTCGCCAATGACATTGGGTTCATCACGAACAATCAAATTACCTTCTGGTCTAAGTATTCTATCAACCTCCGCTATGACAGGAACGAGATTGCACCTGACAAACCAAAAAAAGAAAACCATTTTAAGATGAAATTTGATTACAGTTATAATGTAAATGAGTTTTACACTGTGATTCAATTAGTGTGTCATATAGAATAAGATTGTTGACTTTTTTAATAACTTAAGTTTCTTTAGTAATTTCGAATTGGTTGAGGGTGTAAAATCTTTTAGATTGATGATGCATATAACTTAAACTGAAAAAATATAGAAAACTTATTATTAATTACCTATTCTTTACATTTGAGAAAAGATGATCTGCATGCAGTAGATCATAAGTTCGTGGATAAGTGCTAAAGGATTCACACCAATCATGGTACATTCCAATAAAACCTCGCTCATATATGATAGGAAGTGTGTCAGCAGCATCTATGTTCACCACATTGAATACCCAAACAGGAAGATCCTTTAGAGCTGCTGCAAATCTGCAAACACATTGAGTAACTTTGATGAATACACCTTTATGAATTATGACCAATGATTGAATAGTATTACCAAGGCATGGTAGATTAAGACTAAAGTATGGTGTGTATATATATATATATATACACACACACTTACCCTCCATACGTAGCTCGCATGTCCATGATATTTCTCACGTTAGACCAAGTAACCCCAATGTTGCTCAACTCATCTACAATGTTTATCCAACGTTCATTATCTGCTGCAAAATCTTGAGAAGCTTGTTTATCAAACCAATATGGGGCTTTTTGTTGTCTAAGAGGCCATGGTTCAGGCCATCTAGCTCCCCTCTCATCCTTGCCAACAGGCAACTTATGCATGCATGCTTGTAAAGGAATATACCTATAATATAATATATTTGGCCAATCAAAATTAAAGAAAAATCGTGATGTACCTTTTCTTTCCCATACACTTGAACAAAAATGACTCATGCATGCCTATGTGTGTATTGATAGCTAGAGAGAAAAAGATAAAGAAGAGAAAAGTGTATATGTAGGTGATATTACATGACAAAAGACAAAAAAAAACATTGTGTCAATTGGGTATGATTCTTGGACACCCCCTGAGTGTTTACACCTTGGGAGAGATAGAAAGAGAGAAGAGATAAGTGAATAACATGATTAGTGATATAATGTGATAACAAGAGAGATAATGAAAAATGGGGTGTTGATAGAGTACTTGAAATTTTTGGGTGTCCAAAACTGCGACAAATAATATAATAATATAACAATTTCTATCCATGCACGCACCTATAGAATTTGACAATACAAGGGAATGAAAAAGATTTACCATGCTGCATTTGGATCATCATCATCTTTGCACATAGGAGGTTGGTTTTGCTCCCTTTGTTCCAAGCATTCGTTGGAAGTGGGTTTGCGATAGAAGGCAGCACCAACTTTATTTAATTCGTCCTTTTTTATGGTCACGAGTTCCCAACACATGGACTTGGTTAATGCAGTCATTTCTAGAAGAAAATAACAAAATGTCAGAGGCTAAAATATGTTAAGCTCATTCCTTTTTGAAATTACAAAAATATGTTATATATCGTACGCTTCCATATCTCAGCATCTTCTTCAATCGTTTGGTACACAGGTGTCGCACACCACACAAAAAAACCCCCTGGTCTAAGAACACGATTCAATTCCAAAAGCAACATGCCACCTACAACAAATTCACACATTTCTAGGTAACCATGACAAATGAACATTTAATTTAATTACAAAATGACAAATTTAATCCAAGTAAAAGTGTTAGTGAGATTAATAACCATCTTCATGCCAAGGTACACGACAACGTGCACAATGAACAAGATCAAAGACGTTGCTGGGGAATTGCAGCCTTTGAGTACCCATGACAGCAGATATAGCTGGTATCCCTCTCTCAAGGGCAAATTGCACTTGTGCTTCATGCTCATCTTTGGGTGCAAAAGACATAGCAATAACATCTCTTTCAAATAGGAATCCTCCAAAACTGCCTACCCCACACCCAACATCCAAAATCACCCTAGTGTGTTTTCCCCATGCAATACTTGGTTCAGCCTGCGTAACGACAACTGTTATTTTCAACAATCTTGTATGAAATTGTATACTTACAAGTTATCAACAAGATAATTTGATGAACAATTTAAGAATGTAAAATTCATATTCTAGGAAAAATATTGCACTTAATTGGATTTGGTAAACTAAATATTGTTTTTGCATACTATGTATCTGTGATAGAGCTTTTAAAATATTTTATTTTCAAGTATATCAACCACAATAAGTTTTTGTAGATCCTGTCTTTACAACCCTTCTAACTATTATGTACTAAAAAAATAAAATTACCTGTTGAAGAAAATCAATGTAGTGGAGAGCACCATGAATGAACTGAGTGCCACCTCCAGGAAATGTCAAGAACTCACCCGTCATCTTGACCCAATTCTGGTGTCCCTTCACGTCTGCTAGCAAAGTGTGTGGTATGTTGTGGTACCATATCTGTGGAAATAGAAAGTAGCTAGAGTTTTAATTTTGAGAAACTCATCATCATCATCATATACCTAATAGCACTATGCACATACACATTTATTATTATTATTTTTATCAAATATAATTTCGTAAAGCATACCTTCAAAGAAAATCAATTACAAAATTACAATGAAAAAATATATTTTTTAACTAGAATACCTTTATTATAAGAATTAAAATAAAATAACAAGTTAACTAATTATTTATATATAAGACATTAACAAATAAGGGTATTATAAAAAAAATGTTTGTACTAAAGATAAAGTGTGAAAACACTTTGACAATTTGTGTAAAAAAAAAGTTTGTATTAAAAATCAACCCAAGTTCTAAGATAAAACTTCAATTGAAAGACAACTATAAAAATCTCTTTGAAATTACAACAAGGTTTTGTGTTTAGTTTTCCATATATGAAAGGATGGATTCAATATTTTAAATATTTGATACTCTTTTCAAACATGTTACCTTATCTCTGCTGCTAGGCCATTGGATTCGTACTTTGTAATTTGGGGGAATTGGCACCAGGCAAGTAGGTGCATCTTCAGGGCAGTGCCTCTCTCTGTGTTCGTAGTGTTTTCTATGGGAAGTTTTCAGATACTTTTCATTATCCAAACATGGAATATAATCAGCACCAGCTGTGACATTGCATAGACTCCACTTCAAGTCTTGCAACTCCGTGTCTGCTTCCTTTTGTCTCTTTTTCTCACCATGAGACTCATCTGCTTGTGTTGACCACTCCTTCTTCATCTCCTTGCTTGACTTCCTCCGCTTATTCTTCTCCACTTTGGGCTTCTCCGTTTCTCCACCTTCATCTTGCACCATTTCCTTTTGATCTTTCTCTATCACTTCACCCTTGTCTTCTCTCAGTTGTTGCACATTCGCTTCATCATCATTAATATTCTTCGACCCTTGCACGTCAAGACTTTGTTGACCACCACCCGTGCCTTCTTCTTGATTTTCACTAGCATTTGCATTTGTAATAGCATTTTCATCTTGAGCCATGTTGTTCTCTTCTTCACCCTTTTGGTTCTCTTCGGATACTTGAGCCCTTTGCGCCTCTTTCTCATTCTCAGTGATTTTCTGATCGTTGTTTGAACCTGCACCTTCGTTTGCAATGGACACACCTTCTTGTTTTTGAGCTAACATGTTTTTTATGGCATCTTCGTCAGGGAGATTACCAGGGTTGTCTCCGAACACAGTACTAGTACTGTCCTTTTGGTCTTGACTTTTGGTGGCGGTTTCGTGCGACTCTTCTGAGATATTTGCGTTTGTTTCATGTGACTCTTCTGAGATATTTGTAGCCGTTTCATGTGACTCTTCTGGGATATTTGTAGCGGTTTCATGTGACTCTTCTGCGATGTTTGAGGTGGTTTCAGATGAATCAAGTGGGATGTTTGTTGTTGTTGTTGTGGTGGTGGTGGTGGTTTCGGGTGTCTCTTCGGTGGAAGAGAGGTCAGTGTTGATGGTTTCGGAGTTGTTATCATCAATGGATGTACGTGTTTTAGGTGTGACTACGGAGTTAGAGGTTAACATCCATATGCCCAAAACACATAATGCGATGAAGATTAGTGTTGTTAAGGTTGATGTGTACGAGGATGAGGATGAGGATGATAGCCTCCTGCTGCCTCGTGCCTTGGAAGGTTGTGCCATTGGTGTGTGATGTGTTGGTTTGTTGGTGAAGATAATGAGAGTGAAATTGGTAGAGATTAGAGAGTTTGAGAGGTATGAGTGATGTTTGTGGAGGGAGACTCGGGTGACGAGGGACAAGGAGAGAAGGAAATGTTTCTATGTTGTTGGAAGTTGGAAAGAATCAATGATCCAAAAGAGTAGGAGTAGGAAATTTGTTAACACAACTTGGTTGTTATGTTAAGGAGTAGACAATACTTCACACAGAAATCGCACACATCATCATACACAGCTGAGGCTTTGTCACTTGGAATATAATTACGGGAAATGTTTAGAAGAGTAAAAGTTATACTAATAACAACCTATTTTTCTTTCTCTTTCTTCACATCATTTATCACATTTCGTATTTTCCTTTTCTCTCCCACTTGTACAATTTGCTATACAATTATCCTTTCTCTCTCCTTGACTAAGTGTATCTTAGAGAGTTCTATATGTGAAAAAGAAAAAAAAATCCACGTAACACAACAATATTTTACAATAATTTTTACATTTTTTTATTTCTCTCTATCATATTATTTATTACATTTCAAAGTACTATCCCTTTTCTTTCTTTATCAGTTTTCCTTTTGAATTGTAAAATTTATTGAATTTTTTGTATAAGTATCATTTCTTAAATACATATGTATGACTGCAAAAATGTATCTTTAGCATATAAATAAGCAATATGTTGTATTTAAGACATTGACCATGTTTAATTATCTTGCTTGATTTTATATAATTCTGATTTTTTGTTCTTTTCAATGTGATGTAGATGTAATTTTAAACATTTTGAATTAATTTAGAAAAATAAAAATAGTTTTGAAATATAATTTATCTAATAAAACCTGGTTGAATTAAATTTAAAATATTATTATCTAATTATAAAACTAAAAATAGATTCTATTATATTATTTTTGTTTAAACACACATTTTTACTATGATTTAATGAAACTGTTCTATCTAGGTTAAGTATTTGAAAGTAGTATTTTGTTATCCATAATGATTTTATCTTATTCAAACATATTATCACTCAAGGAAATACTAAAATAATCTTTTTATAAATTATAGTGACTAAAAATATTAAATTTAAAGTTGAGGAACTAAAAACTAATTTACTTCAAATTTAAGGAATTAAAACCATTTTAAGCTTAATTTTTTCTACATTAAGAAGCATAAAAGGACCCATGTTTAATCACAAGTTATAAATTAAATTTTATTTATACTTTTTAAAAAATATATATGATATTTTAAAGTGAAATATATGTAATTAAATTATAAGAAAATGAAACATGGATGCATTATTATTTTGATAAAAAAAATATTACTTTAATAGCTTTTTTTAGTTTCTTTAGTTAAAATATAATGTAACACTAATGGAAAAATATATTTTCTTGACACACTTTCTATGTTGGGTGTCATCTATACGACTTAGAAAGTAGTACAATGACATGCTTGTAAATATGTCAAAATATTTTATGATGGGTATCAACTCACCCGTCATAAAATGTTCTTTCTGTGACAGACAAGTCAACAACTGTTATAAAATGTGTTGGTTAGCCTTTGACTCTAACTTTTTTATTATGATGGGTGTTGACTTACCCATTATAGAAAGAAACATTAAATGACGGGTAAATGGACATCCATTACAAAATGTCCTTTTATTAGGTTATGAGACGGTGTGAATCCATTCGCGCTCTCTATTGTTTCATGTTTTTCTTTCTCTTTGACGACTAAGGCAACTTTTGGCAAGCACTCCCTTCACTTCGTGACCTTATTCAACCACTCTACTGTAGTGACCATCGAATGACGAGCATTTTTTGACGACCTTGTTCAGCCACTTCATCACAACAATGTCATTCAGCTTAGTTTACCATTGTAGGGTGTGACCTTCTAGGTTTGTCTCGTCACTCTATTTTTATTTTTTTTTGCAAATGGGTTTGTTGAGGGTGTTCTTCCATGTTGTTTAGGCAGTCCTTATTGCAACGGCGTTCTCACTTCCACTTTGACCATGTTCCAGGTTCATCTTGTCTCTTTAGTGAGAACTCTAGTTATGTTTTATGCAATGTGGGTTGTTTAGGGTTTGTGGGTTTGCTCATTACTTGTTAATTCGTGATGATGATTTGAACATTTGTGGGCTTGTGCTAGTTTGTGTGGGGTTCCTAGGTGGGAGGGAGAGGGTAGTTTATGAGTCATGGTTGGTAGACTAAAATGACAATAGAGGGTAGGTCATGCTGACAAAACGTGCCTCTACTGTTCCTACTTCACTTGTGGCCTTTTTCAAAAATTGAGGCAGTTAATGATGTTAAGGAATACCTGTTGAGGAGATGCATATATAGTTAAGGGTAACTCTTTGAAGAGTACCTTTGCTTTTTATGGTTCTTTTTGTAGTATGAAGATGTTGAGGAATACCTCTTGAGAGAAGACTTCATCTTGAGTTTTTGCTCAATTTTGATGCATAGTTGGACCAATTCATTAAGGTCCCTATATGGCAAGAGCTCAACTTTATATCTAATCTCAATGCTTAAGCCACTAAGGAATATAGTTATGGTTGTCTCTCCCCTTCCCTAATATTTTCCCTCATTATGTACAGTTGCATATTTTTCTTATACTCTTCTACAATCATATTCTTTTGATAAAGTTGTTGGAGCCTATTCATAAGCTCCTTTCCATAGTAGAATGGTATGTGTCTCCTTCTCATGGCCCCTTTTAGATCATTCCATTATTTGATAGAGGCTCATTGTAGAGTCTTCTCTCTCTTTTCGAGGAACCACCAATACATGACATACTTTTGGAAGCTAAAGGTTGCCAATGAAACTTTTCTCTATTCACTCACTTGATGGCAAGAAAACATTTGTTTCACTTTCATTTCCCAATCAAGCTGGTAAGTCTCCACATCAGTTTTCCTTTGAATGTTAGTGAGGTACACCTTGGGTTCCCGTCTATATTCTTTTTCTCTCTTAGGTTTATGCTTCCTAGGCTCACTTTGGTAGTAGTCACTCATATGTTGACAATATCACTCTCATTGCTCAAGTTATGGCTCTTCAAAGAGCTTCTACTATATGAGCTACTACCATGCCTTATATTTTTTCTCTAAGAGCTTTTCTTTTTTCTTTTATGTGTCTAAGCTCAAGCTTTAGACATGCTTCCAATTCTTCCTTTTCTTTTTTTTGTCTTTCTTTTTCTAACTTTCCTCTTTTCTCCATAACTTTATTACCTTTAGTTCAACCATGATTTTTCCAAGATTTGAAGGTGAACTAGAGTCACTACCACTAAGAGAAGTGAGTACGTAGTGTGTTCTTAGTCATAATGCAAGTTGGAGAGAAAGGTTTTTTATTTTATTTATTAAACTAATGAAAATGAAACCTAATATGTTTAAAGAAGTCTTTGGAACCTTTTGAACACTCTAACATTTGTAAGGAAATAAAAGAAAACAATAAAGAAAGCAAGATATGCAAACTAGTTGTGTTCCTGGGTGAAAGTTTGGGTGAACACTCAAGAGTTTCCCAACACATTTTCATAAGCACTAGCGAAAATTACTTAACAAAAAAATTACAAACAAATTTGAAGTTTTGAGTAGGAATTTGGAAACTCTCAAAACCACTTCCAAGAGAAAGACCTTTACAAGGAAGAAATATGAAAATTAAAAAATGAAATTGAAATGCAAAAACAAATCTTGTAACCTCCAAGTCTTCTCCAACAAAATGAAAAAATTCATTAGTGTAAGAGATCTTCTAGTGTTTTCAATCCTCTCTTTGGTGTTTAATCTTCAAACTCTCCAAAAGCTAGCCTTAACCAAGGAGCAAGTTCTCGTAGGCCTTTATTAACATTCTAAGATGCTACCTTGTGGTAAGGTGTCTTGGTTTACCTTCACTTGAAAATTTAGCCCCAAAAATAATACTAGAGAATTTTTTTAGGAGACAAACAATAAATGCACAATTAAAAATATAGTTAAACTCTAAAATGAAAAAAAAATCAAAGAATGCCAAAAAAAAATATAGAAAAACTAAAATTAAGGTATTATTTGAAAACTACACATTCAAAAGAATATTCCTAGGAAATGTTCGAGAATTGGACTACAAAATCAATAAAGACTCAAGTCCACTTCCAAATTAAATGCAAAATTCAAGTCAAATGATAAGTGACAAAATTATTTTGATTTTTCTTTCACAAAATGCTCCATATAATTTTTTTATCATAAAATATTTTTCTCTTTTTCTTGTATTTTTTATTTCTTCTCTTTTTTCTTTTACGCTTTTGCTTTTCCTTTCTTTTGGAACAAATTTGTGACTATTTTTATTTTGTTTGTTTTGCTAAAAATGTGTTAGAATTTTTCCTATGAAGAGAAACTCAAAATTGAAAAAAAAAATTAGAAGTGAAAACTCAAAATGAACCATAATTTGGTGATAAATTTTGAGGTAAACACAATTGTTATAGTTTAGATTTATCATTTGCAAACCCCTTTAGTTACTGCATATAGATAGTTTCCTACCCTTTGCTACAAGCCTTGCTTTATACCTTATATTTTCCACACCTGGAATACCTTGCCTTTCCTTGAAGATCCACTTGCATCCAACTATCATCTGATTCTTGGACAGATCCACAAGCTTCCAAGTCTGATTTTTATCCAGGGACCCAATTTCTTCATGTACAAATTACAACCAGTTCTATCTTTCCTTACTCTCCACAGCCTCTTTAAAACTCCTTGGTTTTAAGTTTTGTATCTCTTCAAGCATAGTAAGAGTGTAGAAGATAAAGTTAGCATACCCAAATCTCTTAATAGGTACAACATTTCTCCTAGTCCAATCTTTCGTCAATTGACAATTTGAAACAGTAGATGATATATTTGTTGTTTGTTTATCATTTATTAGAGTAAGAATATTTCCAAAATTACCTCAGATCTTGTAATGAAATCTCATGGTTATCAAAAATTCTCAAATGAACAATACTTATACATTGCACCATGCAAGCTTTGTTGTTGCCAAGAAGTACCACTCCACTTTCTTTGAGTTCCAAAGTCTAAAAAGAAATCATTCATAGGACCCATGTGGTTAGTACATCCAAGATCTATAACCTAATTCCTTTTCATTTTTGATGCT